TGCAGTATCTAATTTTTTAGGATTTAGGATTTATGCCTTCATTAGCTTATTTTTTTTAAAAAGAAAATATTGTTAAAATATTTGTTATAATAATTTACATTTATAAATATCGTTAAAAATTATCATATAATATATAACTAAAATAATATATATATATATATATATACATATATATATATATATTCTCTATATCTAAATACTTTCGTTTATATAAAAAAAATTATATATCTAAATATTTTTTTAGTATCGAATATACTGATTTTTTTATATAAAAATTATCTTATGTTTCTATATTTTCGTTTTAACATTTTTTTTATAATGACTGAGGTATTTGATCCATTTGGATAGCCAAGATATATTCGATCTTGTATGATTGATGTGCTTCTAAAAATAATAATATAATTTTATTGATTTTGTCTCTTATCCATAATTATTTATATAACTAGTTTTCAACATATATTATTTTAGTAATTCAAATGGGAGATTCAGAAGGAAATAATAAAGAAAAAGGAAAAGAGAAAGAAAACTATGAAGCTTGGACCAAGGAGGATTCTGATGAATTGTTACAATTGATAGTGGATGTTATAAAAAGAGGATAGGATATTATGGAGAATTATTATTATTATTTATCTAGACATTATTGTTTTTTTTATATTATTTTTGTCTTTGATTCTTTTTAAATTTGAATATATGATTTTTTTTTTAAATCTTATCAAATGTCAAAACTTCACAAAATCCCACAGAATCCATTAAAATCCTGATTTAAAAGTCTTGCAGAATCCATAAAAATCCTGATTTTAAGTCTTGTAAAATCTTGCAAAATCTTAAAAGTCATGAAAATCCTGCAAAGTCTTTTAAAATCCGCAAGATTTTTTTTAACTAAAAAAGTCATTTAAAATCCTAATCCAATACACCCCCTTAATATCCATGCCAATGTCTTTTCAGTTTTATAATATAATTTGCTCTCGGTCTAGGCAAATATGTTAGGGGAAAAAAAAGTAAATACTAATTTCCTTTTATTGCATACTTCAACAACAATAAAAGTAGCACAAATGCACAATGGATGAAGTATGAGTGCACATACTAACTTGATGAAAGGGAAATACTTGAGCCAGTCAACAAAATCGGCAAGGGAAAATGAGACCCTGAGTCCGTGATAGAGAGAGAACACGCCATCACTTTATTTTTGAATGTTATTAAAAATTAAGTATCATTCTTTTAACTTTTAACTAGAGTCCAAAACTTTTAACTTTGATTGGGCCAAAACATTCAAGACTAGGACTCTATTCGTATTAACTTTTCCATAACAGAAAAAAAAAAAAAAGTAAAATGAATTGAATTTTTTTTTATAAATTAAAACCAGCTTATATACTTCAATTTTTGGAAAAGTTAGATAACTTTTTACATAGAAGTTAACTTAATAATTTAATTTTAACTTATTAGAAAAGGCAGGTTATTCCTCACAATGGGAAAGGAATATAAAAAACAATATGAAATGTGTCTGTCAAGTCACATCACTCTGATACCTTAGGATTTTCTTTAAACCAAAGTTGTGGAGATGCAATGGACTGAGCTCATATTGTTCAGTCTCAGAGCAATATGGCACTCTTTCAACTTGGCTTGTCATAGTTGCCATGTAAGCCAGATTGGTCACAACAGAGAAGTTAGTTAATTCACTATTTATCATAAAGAATTTGGAGCACTATGATAGGTACAATGAATTAGCACGCCTAGGAAAACTAGTCAAAGCATGAACTTATCTGTTTTGTTCACCAAATTCAACTTATCACATTCTTTCCTTTTAATCCTTTACCATATGTGGAGCTGCACAAATTTGAATACTCAATCACGTGTGATCATGTAACATAAAATCAAAGGGAAAAAATAATAGTTGTGGCCATGGAAGACAATCCCCATAGGAAGTGAATTTTCTCTATTGAATAATCAGCCGTTTATTTTTTTAAGTTATCTCGCTTTCATTATTTATATTCTCCACTTTTTGTGAATTGTAAATTTGTAATGAAACAAATTGAAGGGAATGAAATGATGATATAAGAAGACTCTCTTTTATATATCAGTGCAATATCACGCTCATAAAGAAGAAAGGAAAGATCACTTCATATCCAAGGTAAGAAAAACCATTCCATTTGTCTCCCAATAATAAAACAGTTATAATGGCTAAGAAGAAATATACCCTCTTCCATTTAAAAGTGTATTTTGTTCAGCCTTCAAAAGGACATGGAAACTGCAAATGTGTGTGGACCACCAAGTTTTGCTCACATAACATGTAACAGAGGAAACACACAACTTTAACTTAAACATCGAAACCAAAATCATTAAACATAACACAGAAACCAAATCAAACACAAGAGGGAGGGTCTAACTTCAAAGTTTCAAGAAGATGAATCATTACCCACCACACTAAGTTGATCAATTACTCACATATATTTTTCTTATATTCATATTAATTCGATTTCATCAATGACTAATCTTTGTCGAAAAATTTGAACATATTACTTTTAATAAAGTTTTCTATCAATTACATTTTTTCTATAATAAAAAATTCTAATTTGAGACCTTCTTTAAAAAGATCGAGTCCAATACAACTTATTGGTAACTACTCACCTGTGTAACAAATTCTTGAGGGCAGGTTATGAATCCAACTATCAAAGTATGGTGTACATGATTGAACTTGGAAGAGAAAACTGAAGGAAGAGATGAAGTTAACCAGCAAGTTCATTAGCTTTATGGTAGAGGCTTTGGCAAGAATATGGAATATTACGAGGATCTTCTATTTGTTGCTAGTGTAATATGTTATGTGGCCCTGTCATTTGTTTTCTTCAGATGGTGACCCTAGTTTAGTTTTCTCTTGGCGTTTTCACCTACTAATTGTAGTTTCCTTTATTATTAAGTCATGAAAATAATTAGCATTGGAAAAAAATAAATTCAATGGTTAAGGTGAAAGTTAATGGTCACCGACATACTTGTAGTGTAATAAAAAACTGTCTTACACATTGAGGCTTTTTGACCCCACTAAATTAAAAAAAAATTAAAAATACATAAAATAAATTAAAAAAAAACTATTTACTGAAATATGTGATTTTAGACACGTAAGAGTACACGTGGCATGGAAAACGTATGGGGGTGGGTGTTTTTTATAAAAAGTCTCCCCCCAGGCACTTTTAGTTGTTGATGTGGTAGCTACTACACTTTGAGAAGAAAGAGAAGGGAGGGGTAGGCGTTTTTTAGAAAGAGCTTCCCTCCTGAGCGCCTTCCATTTATGGCAAGTTTGAAAAGAAAGAGCATGGAAGTAGGTGCCATCTGTTGCAATGCGCCTCCTTCCCGGTCCCCGGAACTAAATTTTAAACAATTTAAAAATATGTAATAATTAAATATAAAAAAATTATTAATATTTTAAAAAATTAAGTTAATTTTTAATTTAATAAATAAAAATGTAATAAGTTATAATGTTAATAAATAATAATTTTAATAAGTTATATTTACAATATATTTGAAATTTAATAAATAATAATTTTAATAAGTTATATTTATAATAAATTAGAAACGTAATAAATAATAATTATAATAAGTTATATTTATATGTGTGTGTTTAAAAATATTAATAATATATACAATTAAAATATCTTTATAATTACTAAATTTAATAAATTAGTATGTATTAAATATATTAATTATATTTACAATGGAATAACTTTTATCTATTTTTGTATTTTTATTCTTATTTTTTTAACAACAATTCATAATCATTTATATTTAATAATATTAAACTTATTATGATTAATAATTTAATTAACAAATTTTCTATTTTATTAATTTTAAAAATTATTAAACTTAATTTAAACTTATATATTTTTCTCTTCTAATATTTAAGTTATACATATAAATAATATTTATTCAAATTAGTTAATAAAAATATATTTAATTCGTAAATATTATTAATATTTTTAAACACATTTATTTATAATACATACTAACTTATTAAATTTATAAATTTTTGTACCGTCCCGGTCGATTTCCGATACACGCTCTCAGCCTATTTCCGATGTCATTAAAAGGGACAGTTGCTTTAGCCTTTTCGCCTCATAGGCTCAAGGCTGGAAGGTAAGTGTACCGTCTCGGCCGATTTCTGATTTCTTTACCTTCACAGGCTGATCGGTATCCGACCTTACCCTCTCCTTGGCGATGAGCCGACTACAACCTCGGCCAACCCCCCCTCCTTTTTGGGGTCACTCGGCCTATGACCGAGTTGGCTATTTGCGTAAGCCAGATCGGCCCCATTCCGATCCCCCTCTCCTTTAAGACCCCGCTCGGCCAGTACTCGACCAGTCCCTCGGTATGGGTCTTGTCGGTCGGGACCTGATCGAATATCCTCGCGTTCGCCAAGTGTTATCCAAATAATAACGGTTAAGGAAATCCCCACATTCACGGGGCCCATGAGGCCCATGAGCTAGAAAGTATAAAACCTAAAACCCTAAAGCTAAGAAGGCAGATTACACTTTTGAATGCTCTAGCTCGGAGGCTTGATCTAGGAAAAAACCCTAGTCCACCCTTTGGCCGGAACATTTTGGCGCCCACCGTGGGGCTACGGTAAAACTGCTCCTGCGCCCCAAGTCGTATAGAAGAACCTACACTTTACCATGGCAAGAGGTGGCACATCAAACAACAACTCACAACCCCCTACCATGGAGGAGATGATGGCCATGATCAATGGCTTAAGGGAGGAAAATGTGGAAAGAGAGGAGGCCATTCAGCGCGAGAATGAGGAGATCAGGAGGCGAGTGGACGAGATGCAGGCCCGGTTAGAGGCCAGTACCAGGACGGTGGAGGAAGACGTTATGATGGAAATCCCTAGGGATTTCTGACCTTTCTCGGAAGCCATAGAAGCCGAGATCATCCCCAGGAATCATCGGATACCCCAAGTTGAACCTTTTGATGGAACACAGGATCCCAGTCAACACCTGACGGATTTCTGAGCGCAAATGCTGATTTGTGGAGGAAGTATGGAAGTCCGCTACAAGCTGTTCATGGGTACACTTAAAAAGGCGGCACTTGACTGGTTCAGCGGCTTGCCTGACCGATCCATCACCGACTTCGACGTCTTCAGTCGGCTCTTCATGGCACAGTTTGCCGCTAACAAGAAGAAGCTGCCGATCACGTCGGACTTGTTCGATTTCAAGCAGCAGCGGAAGGAGTCGTTGAAGGACTTTCTGCAGAGATTTAATGAGGTCGCCTTGAGGATAGCATCTTTGGATGAGAGGATGGCTGTCATTGCATTCCAGAAGGGCCTGAGGTCTGGAGCTTTCGACATCGCGCTGGAAAGAGCAAATTGGCAGACGATGTCGGAAGTGAGAGCCTTTGAATTGAGTCACATTAAGACAGAGGAAGGGCAGATTAGCAAAAGAGCAGCGAAGAGCCGAGAAGCAAGGGACAACAATAAGGAGGGAAATAAGCATCTCCGACCGGATCGGATTGGAGTAAGCGACACGACCGTTACAACATGAAGGAGGGCAATTACCGTCAGGCCGATTGTGGTGGTCGGGCAAGGGTCAAGTGGACACACAACAATGACGAAGAGAAGTTTACTCCACTCAACGTCCCTAGGAGGCATATACTTCACGATGTCAACAGCGCGTCGTTATTCGAGTTCCCAGCAGCGACGGAGCGCTAGTTGGGTCCCTTCAAGACCGACTGGTGCGAGTTTCATAGGACTCATGGGCATTCCACAGAAAATTGTTTCGTCCTGGGGAGGCAGATCGAGCGTTTGATCAAGGAGGGGCGTTTGAAAAAGTTCGTGGCTAGGAAACAGGAAGAAGGTTCGTCGGATAGGCGACATAGGCGCGCACAGGACGAAACCAGGAGGGATAGGCATAGAGAGAGAACTCCCCCCAAGGACACTCCAGCAAGGTCATTAGAGGCCCACCAGCAACCCATCCATGGGGATTTCAATACCATCGCAGGGGGCTTCGCCGGCGGGAGAGCTACCTCAGCTGCCCGAAAGAGGTACACCTGCTCAGTCCTGAAAGTATCAAAATTTCGGCGCCCATCCCAACCTGAGATTTCGTTCTCGGACTCGGATTATGAGGGAGTAGCTCCTCACGAGGACGACCCCGTCGTCGTTTCGGCAATTGTAATGAGATACAATGTGAAACGTGTGTTGGTCGACCAGGGAAGTTCTGCGGACATCTTATTCTGGGAAGCTTTTGAGGGGATGAAAATACCTAATGACCGACTCATTCCTTATGCAGGGACTCTAGTGGGTTTTGCAGGAGACCAGGTCATCGCGAGGGGATATGCCGATCTGGAGACGACGTTTGGCCATGGAGCTCAGATGAAAACAGTGGTTGTTCGGTATTTGGTGGTCAACGCTCAGTCATCCTACAACATACTGATCGGCAGACCGACCCTGAACAAACTGGGAGCGGGGTTGTCCACTTCCCACCTGAAGGTAAAGTATCCGTTGCCGAACGGTGCTGTGGGGGTCCTTAGAGTGGATCAGGAGGTTGCTCGTAAATGCTAGGGGATAGTTTAAAGGCACGAAGGCGACTGTACACTGTGCAGGTGGAGCAGGAGGTTCACTCTGTCGATTTAGATCCTAGAGTAAGTCATTTCGATCGCCGACCAGCCCCTGCTGAGGACGTTAAAGAGGTGACAATGGCGGAAGGAAAGAATGTGAAGATTGGTACATCCCTGAGCCAGGAGGACGCAGGGAGACTAATAAAAGTATTAAAAGCGAACATGACGGCATTCACATGGCACGCCAGAGACATGCCAGGAGTAGATCCCGACTTCATGTGCCACAGGCTGGCCATCGACCCAGGCGCGAAGCCAGTGATCCAGAAGAGGAGGAAATTTGGCGAGGAGAAGCGAAAAGCCATCGTCAAAGAAACCAACAAGTTACTGATGGCAGGACACGTACGAGAAATACAATATCCGACCTGGCTTGCAAATGTTGTGATGGTACGTAAAAGTAGTGGAAAGTGGAGAATGTGCACAGACTTCACCGATTTGAATAAAGCGTGCCCGAAGGATTCGTACCCTTTGCCGAATATAAATTTCCTGATTGATGGCGCGTCGGGGTATGAACTGTTAAGCTTCATGGACGCGTACTCGGGTTATAATCAGATCCGGATGCACCCAGCAGACGAGGACAAAACCGCGTTCATTGCCGATCAAGCTAACTATTGTTACAAGGTAATGCCTTTTGGTTTGAAGAATGCAGGTGCAACGTATCAGAGTTTGATGGATAAAGTGTTGGTGAACCAACTAGGTAGGAACGTGGAAGCTTATGTGGATGACATGGTGGTGAAATCAATGAGTCTGGATCGGCATTTATACGACCTACAAGAACTATTTGAGACCATAGGCAAGTATCAGCTCAAGTTGAACCCCGAAAAATGTTCTTTTGGAGTCCAAGCAGGAAAGTTCCTTGGTTTCCTACTAACTCATCATGGCATTGAAGCAAATCCCGAGAAGTGCTCGGCGATCATCAACATGAGGAGTCCAACAACGGTGAAGGAGGTGCAACAACTTGTAGGACGAATGGCATCTCTGTCGCGCTTCCTTTCAAAGGCGACCGACAAGGCCCTCCCACTTTTTCAATGCTTAAGGAAGAATGATCATTTTATTTGGACGACCGAGTGTGAAGAGGCTTTCTTGGAGTTGAAGAAGTCGCTCACATCGCCACCGATCTTGACGAAACCACGGCCGAGTATCCCTTTGCTGGTTTACATATCGGCGTCCAACCAAGATGTCAGTGCAGTTTTAGTCCAAGAGCAGGAAGGATCTCAAGTTCTGGTGTATTTCGTGAGTCGGGTCCTACAGGGAGCAGAAGCGAGGTATCAGAAGATCGAGAAATTGGCTCTTGCAATACTGGTTACAGCGCGCAAGTTGAGACACTATTTCCAGAGTTATGAGGTGTTAGTCCAAACAGATCATCCGATTAGGCAAGTATTACAGAAGCCCGACCTGGCAGGAAGGATGATGAAGTGGTCTGTAGAGCTATCAGAGTATTCCATCAAGTATGAGCCGAGAGGAGCAATAAAAGCTCAAGCGCTAGCTGATTTCGTAATGGAACTGACCTCACCTGCTGGTGAGGACAGTGTCGGAGAGACACAATGGATCCTATCGGTGGATGGAGCCTCGAACCTCGGAGGAAGTGGAGCAGGGATCGTCTTGGAAGGTCCCGGAGGAGTTTTGTTGGAACAATCACTACGCTTTGAATTCCGAGCGAACAACAACCAGGCCGAATATGAAGCGTTGTTAGCTGGCATGGCGTTGGCAAAGGAGATGGGGGCAATGAGTTTGTCAGCGCGGAGTGATTCTCAGCTGATCACGGGGCAAGTAGCTGGCACCTTCCAGGCAAAGGACCCTCAACTGGCTAAGTACTTGGAAAAAGTTAAGCTCCTATCAGAAAACTTCCGAGAGTTTACACTTAACCATGTACCGCGAGAGTAGAATTCGAGAGCAGATCTCCTCTCAAAGTTAGCAAGCACAAAGAAGCCAGGAGCCACTCGGTCGGTCATCCAAGAAACTCTAGCTCAGCCGAGTATTAATGAGCCACAGGAGAGTGTCTTTTTCATCCAAGAAGAGCTCGATTCGTGGATGGGACCCTATATTGCATACTTGACTCGGGGGGAGTTGCCAGAGGACAAAAAGGAAGCGTCGCTGATACAAAGAGAGTCGGCCAGATTTGTGGTTATTAATGAGAGATTATATCGAAGGGGTTTCAGCAGTCCCCTTTTAAGGTGTTTGACCACGTCACAAGCGCAAAGAGTGATGGACGAAGTGCATAGCGGAATGTGTGGAAGTCATATCGGAGGACGATCTCTGTGTATAAAGTTGCTCGGGCAGGGTACTTTTGGCCATCTCTCAGAAACAATTGCGTCAATTGGGTCCAAAAGTGTGATGGATGCCAAAGACACGCAACATTGCACCATTCCCCAGCTGAACGTCTCCATTCAATCTTGTCTCCCTGGCCTTTCCACAAGTGGGGCATTGATATTCTCGGTCCATTTCCGATAGCCGTAAGACAATTGAAATTCTTGATAGTGGTTGTAGACTACTTTAGCAAGTGGATCAAGGCGGAGCCAGTTGCAACCATTTCAGCGGAAAAGGTTAGGGCGTTTCTATGGAAGAATGTGGTGTGCAGGTATGGTGTTCCTCAAGTGCTTGTTTCTGATAATGGGACACAGTTTGTGAGTGCGAGAGTCCGTGATTTCTGTCAAGGAGTCGGTATCCGAATGACATTCACTTCCATCGAACACCCGCAATCTAACGGCCAGGCAGAGTCGGCCAACAAGGTTATACTCTCGGGACTGAAAAAGCGCATCCAAGACTCAGGCGCTTCATGGGTGGAGGAGCTTCCCAGGGTGCTATGGTCATATCACACAATTGTTCATTCGTCGACCCAAGACACTCCTTTCAATCTGGTATACGGAACAGACGCCATGATCCCGATTGAAATTGCTGAACCCTTAGTACGTACTACGGCTTTTTCTAAAGAGGAATCCGACCAGGGACGACGAGTTGACTTGGACTTGATCACGGAGACAAGAGAGAGAGCAAGGATAAATCAAGTAGCCGCCCAGAGAAGAGCAGCTTTCAACCACAACACAAAGGTCGCCCCAAGAGACTTCGTTGTAGGAGACCTCGTTTTGAAGCGCGCTCAGCTAACTCAAATGAGGAACAAGCTCTCACCTAAATGGGTCGGTCCTTACAAAATTGATGATGTGGTTGGCAAGGGAGCTTACCGACTAAGGACGCTGGATGGAGGGATGATACCGAGAACTTGGAACGCTGCAAACTTACGCTTCTACTATAGCTAGTCTTTTCTTCCATTTGTATTAGGTGCACTCTTTTCCTAAGTCAGTATTTTTTCCCCGTAAAAATAAGAGGAGTTTTTGCTGAGAAGGTTTTTAACGAGGCACCGCTTTTTCAATTCTAATAAATATCATCCCATTGTTTTCTCTCATGATGTCTAACATGTATTGTTTTAAAGGCCATCAAACTCGTGATTGATCGGTAAAAATCCGACTAGGCGAGTATAAATAACTCGAAGACCAAACTCGTGATTGATCGGTAAAAATCCGACTGGGCGAGTATAAATAACTCGAAGACCAAACTCGTGATTGATCGGTAAAAATCCGACTGGGCGAGTATAAATAACTCGAAGACCAAACTCGTGATTGATCGGTAAAAATCCGAATGGGCGAGTATAAATAACTCGAAGACCAAACTCGTGATTGATCGATAAAAATCCGACGGGGCGAGTACAAATCGGGAAGTTCGCCCCATTCCCATTAAGCTCATGCAATCGGTTTTTGAAAGACTCCAATAGAATCTCTAGCTTCGTCACTTGCTCATATGATTGATTTCCTCATTTTAAGTCGGTGTATTCGCTGCTAAAGGTGATGCCTCTCATTTACATTCAGTCGGAAGAATCGACATTCGGGCGAATCACATGTTGTTTCTTTATAAATTGGCAGTTGGGCGATTTTTGCTTGTCCCAATTCCATGTTTTGACTTGGGAAGTCTCTGTTTATTACTTGAATCGGATTTTGGGCGATCTGAAGATCAAAATTCATTCCAACTTGGAAGATGTTTCACTTACAATTCGAATCGACACGTGGGCGATTACTTTTGTTTAACAAGTTTAGAGTTTAGGGTTTAGGCGACTACTTTGTATCCCCAAATTACCAGTTTGAAAATCCAAGTTTTTTAGAACTACTTTCTCAACTATGAGATCGGAATTATGACGATTGCTTTGGGCTTTAAAACCTAAAGGTCTAACTTATACTTTTTGATGTGGATTATATATGGTCGGCATTTGGACAACTGCGAGGTCTTCAGAGACTTCACAAGTTTTTTAACGTACAATATTTTTTTATCGTAGGGATCGGAATTTGGACGACCACTTTCAGTTTAACAACGACATCTTTTTAAAAGATATTTTGCCTTTTTGACAGGGCAATCGGAATTTGGCCGACCACTTTCGGTGTAACAACACCAACCTTTTAACTTAGATTATATTTCGCCCCTTTGGATAGGAAATTGGAATTTGACCGATTACTTTTGCTTTAACAAGGGGTCGCTTTTTAACTAAGATTATGTTTTACCCCTTTGGATAGCAAATCGGAATTTGACCGATTATTTTCGCTTTAACAACCTCATCTTTTTAACTGATCATATTTTCTGATGGAGCAATCGGTATTTGGCCGAGTGGCCACGTAAAATGTCATTTTAAACTTAGAAAAATTTTCACTTGATATACGAGACTGAAGCTTCATTTTTTAACTCCTAAATTTGATTTGGTACTAGGGCGATTCATGGTCAAAATTCATTTTGCCTCGTTAATTCCTTCTTAACTTAGAAATTTTTTACTCAACATTTCATTCGGCATTTGGGCGATAACCTGGTTGTCTTATTTTAACTTAGAAATTTTGTACTCAATATTTCATTCGGCATTTGGGCGATAACTTGGTTGTCTCCTTAATTTAGAAACTTTTTACTCAACATTTC